TAAACTGCACTTGGGTTCTCACTTCAACTCGCCTTCAGTGGACTAATCATTACAGAAAGCTAGACCCCAATAATGAACCCAGCAGTTTCACGCCTCCTCTGCCTTCGTCAAGGTGACAGGCCTATTGAGGACTATGTGGAGGATTTTTGTGAACTTTACTGTCAAGTGGACTTCAATTATACTTTCTTAAAATACATTTTTCGTTTTGGTTTAAGTAAAGACATGTCAAGTTTAATGCCACGCAATACTCCTCACTGGACTCTTGAGCAATATCATGCCTGCCAAGCCACAGCCTTCTCACGTCATGTCTGCTACGCCAAGTTCTGCTCACGTCATGCCTGCCAAGCCAAAGCCTGCTAACGCCACACCTGCTACTCCAGGACCTGCTCACACCATGCCAGTTAAGTCAAAATTTACTCATGTCATGTCCACCATGTTAAAACCTGATCACGTCATGTCTGCCAAGCCAGAGTCTGCTAACGTCATGTCTGCTACCCCAGGGCCTGCTCACGTCACGTCTGTCAAGCCTGAGCTTGCTCACGTCATGCTGACACATCAAGAGATTCTTCACAACATGGCCGCCATTCAAGAGCTTCATCGCAAGATTGCCGCCACACAAGAGTCTCTACACAAAATGGCCGCCCTTCTAGAGTCTCGTCACGTCTTAGCTGATCTTCTGGAGTTTCGTCATGACATGGCTGCCATTTCAGAGACCGCTCACGTTAAGCCTGAGTCCCCGGCCAAGATGGCCGCCACGCCTGAGTCAGACGCGGAGCTTGGGCCAAGACTGAAAAGACTGATAGCTAAGGCCACAGAGGCCGTTCACGAACTCACTGTCTGTCCTATCACAGCCATGGAGGCCGTTCATGAACTCGCAGTCTACCCTGTCACGGCCATGGAAGCTGTTCTTGAACTCACTGTCTGTCCTGTCACGGCCATGGTGGCCGTTCATGAACTCACTGTCTGCCCTGTCACAGCCATGGAGGCAGTTCACGAACTCACTGTCTGCCCTGTCACAGCCACGGAGGCTGTTCACGAACTCACTGTCTGTCCTGTCACGGCCAAGGAGGCCGTTCATGAACTCCCGGTCAAGTGGTCTGTCCATGTCTCTGCTCCGCCATGGCTACCCGCTCTGCCTGCTCCGCCATGGCCCCCCGCTCTGCCTGCTCCGCCATGGCCCCCCGCTCTGCCTGCTCCGCCATGGCCCCCCGCTCTGCCTGCTCCGCCATGGCCCCCCGCTCTGCCTGCTCCGCCATGGCCCCCCGCTCTGCCTGCTCCGCCATGGCATGATGTTGTCATTGTTCTTGGTCGTGTATTGATGTTGTAACCCGCAGTCGGTGAGTCTAGTCTGTTCATGCCACGTCAAGTCTGTTCATGTCAAGTCTGTTCATGCCTCGTCAAGTCTGTTCATGTCAAGTCTCGGATTATTGTTTGGATGTTTGGATCACTTGTAAATAAACTGCACATGGGTTCTTCACTACGCTCGCCTTCAGTGGACTGATTTGTTACAGATACCAGCTGCTAGTCATATTTTTTCTTTTATTTCTGGGTGCTTCTTCAACTATGGGTACTTTTGGCCTTGTAAACTAATAAAGTCTCTTACAATGTACTTTTTTATATGCTAGTTTATTTAATCTGTTTACATAAACTAGTTTGTCATTTAATTGAGTGTTTATATATCCTAAATACATGCAGTTATATAATATTTCAGACTTTTTAAATAATCTTAAGCATGCTCTCCAGTCTGACACTGTTTGTATCATTAGTAACTAAACTAGCTAACTGTTGATAAAGTCTAATTAGTTACAAAATTGTCAGTTGTGGTGAAATCGACAACATTGTATCTTGTGTAAAGAATTAACAATTTTAACATTGAATATTCAAAGAATTTATGATTGTCACTTTAAAAGTCTTCATATTAAGTAAATAAAGATAATTCGAGTACAAATAAACAGGCATCCACCACAGTCCTAGGGCCTGTTCTTCGTACGTCGCTTATTACAGCCGAGATGAAATGTCACATCCAAGATTATATCATCGCGCTAATCAGGATCTGGCTAATTCAGTTCTTCAAACGCAGCTGTTGTTGATGATTAGTATGGCTGGGTTGAGTTATCTGAGATAATTGTGCGTTCATGGGTTGGTTTAAAAGGGGCTATGTATCGATACTCGAAACCACGATCAGCAATGCAGCGATTGGCTGGCGGCAAGACAGCAACGTAATGACATCATATAATTAAAAAAGACACCTGACGAAAAACTTGACAAATTTCTGGACTTTTATGTTATAATAGATAAATGAAATGTGTTTTTATTTTATTTAAATTTTTTACATGATTTCTAATTATTTATATTCACGATTTCTAATTTTTGTACAGGCTTTACATTTTTATTTCAATGTAGTAATTAGCAATTCATTTAATTTTATATTTGAACAGATTTGTTACGTGACAGCATTAATTTAAGTTTCTTAAGGGTCAAGATCATGTCTATAAAGAGAAATGGAAAACCTCTGTTGAATGTGTGCATCCTTGTAGCCGTGAGATGGCACTGCATGAGAAACCATCATCAACCACATATAAATGTCTTCTCACCAGACAGTTCATGATTAGTTTTGTTGTGAAGCTCTTTCTACACAGTTAGCAGGTGTATGGCTTCTCTCTGGTGTGAATTCTCATGTGCCTGTTAAAGCTTCCTTGCTGAGTGAAACTGATTCCACACTGAGAGCATACGTAAGGCTTCTCGCCAGTGTGGATGCTCATGTGGCTTTTAAGGGTTCCTTTTACTGAAAAACATTTTCCACACCGTTGGCAAACGAAAGGCTTCTCTCCGTCATGAATCCTCATGTGGACTTTAAGGTTTCCATGTTGAGTGAAACTCTTTCCACACTGTTGGCAGGTGAAAGGCTTCTCTCCAGTGTGAATTCTTATGTGGGCATTAAGAGTTTGTCTGTGTGTAAAACTCCTTCCACAACGAGGGCAGGTGTAAGACTGCTCTCCAGTGTGAATTTTCATGTGGCTTTTAAGGTCTCCTTTTCGAATGAAACTATTTCCACACAGTTTGCAGGTGTATGACTGCTCTCCAGTGTGAATTCTCATGTGCCTGGTAAGGCTTTCTTTTCGATTGAAACTATTTCCACACAGTTTGCAGGTGTATGACTTCTCCCCAGTGTGAATTCTCATGTGCCTGGTAAGGTTTTCTTTTCGATGAAAACTATTTCCACACAGTTTGCAGGTGTATGACTTCTCTCCAGTGTGAATCCTCATGTGGACTTTAAGGTTTCCTCGTTGATCGAAACTCTGTCCACACTGTTGGCAGGTGAAATGATTTCTAGTTATAGTCTTTTGAGCTCTTTTTTGTGAGAAAGTCTTTTCAGTCTGTGGGCAACTGAATGATTTTTGTCCAGTTATGAAATCATGTTTCTTATACTGATCTTTATCTTGCTTTTCATTCAGTTTTTCACTTTCCTCTTTCAGCACCATCATGTCTAGGATGAAAAGAGACAAATACAAGTTAACCCCTGTTTAAAACAACAGAAAGCAACAATGGCCAAAATCTGCCATTAATGTCTAAAACAGGGGTGTCAAACTCAGCATGTGGAGGGTCACGGTCCTGCGTAGTTTATACCTTTAGTTTTCAAGTAATGAAGATCTTGATTCAGGTGTGTTCAGTAGGAGCTAAACTCTGCAGGGCTGTGGCCCTCCAGGAGTTTGACATCCCTGCTCTAAAAAATTTAAAGCATATAGCTTCAACAATGTCCAGTTTTGCAGAGAAACTGTATTTGTGAACCAATATCAGTCAGGATTTAAACCCAATTTTAACATGGAAACTGTGCTCATTAAAGTAATATATCTCTCCTAAAAAGTAAAAAGTAATATATCTCTAGAGCTATTATTTCTTCAACAACATAGACCACAACATCCTCTTGGATAGCTTGAGAATTGTGTAGGCACTTGTGGACAAGAATTAGTATGGTTTATATCCCATCTATCCAACTGCTACCACTTTGTGTAAATAAGAGACAAATACAAGTTAACCCCTGTTTAAAAACAACAGAAAGCAACAATGGCCAAAATCTGCCATTAATGTCTAAAACAGGGGTGTCAAACTCAGCATGTGGAGGGTCACAGTCCTGCGTAGTTTATACCTTTAGTTTTCAAGTAATGAAGATCTTGATTCAGGTGTGTTCAGTAAGAGCTAAACTCTGCAGGGCTGTGGCCCTCCAGGAGTTTGACATCCCTGCTCTAAAAAATTTAAAGCATATAGCTTCAACAATGTCCAGTTTTGCAGAGAAACTGTATTTGTGAACCAATATCAGTCAGGATTTAAACCCAATTTTAACATGGAAACTGTGCTCATTAAAGTAATATATCTCTCCTAAAAAATAAAAAGTAATATATCTCTAGAGCTATTATTTCTTCAACAACATAGACCACAACATCCTCTTGGATAGCTTGAGAATTGTGTAGGCACTTGTGGACAAGAATTAGTATGGTTTATATCCCATCTATCCAACTGCTACCACTTTGTGTAAATGAAGAAACATCTCATCAAAAACAAGTATGGAGTGCCACAGGGCTCAGTATTAGGTCCTCTGCTTTTCTTTTTTGTCATCTGAGAGACATTATCATTAGATTTCACTATTATGCCAGTGACAGAGTTTTATTATTTCCTCACAACCTGAAGAAATGACACAACTCTCCAAGTTAACAGAGTGATATTAAACATATCAAATATGGGATGGCTAGTAATTTTCTTGTACTTAACTATTTCTATGGAAAATTCTAAATTCTCAATTCTGATTTTGTATAACACCCTACTTACATGTTAGAAATGCTGCAGGGTCAACAAATAAGTTATAGTTTGTTCAAAATGCAATGGCTAGAGAGCTTACAAGACACATTAGGTCTTCTGGCATCAATTTTGTCTGACTGCACAGAGTCTTATAGACCACAGAAATCGCAAAAAGCAAAACAGTATATCTATGAGGACAAGTGTATTTTGGTTGTAGTTGTAAATGAAGTTATTCAGTAGGGATATATATTACTGTAAAAGGGAGTTTCGTCCCTTCCTGTTTCTTATGGTCAGTGTTAGAGCTCAAAACGTTTTTGTATCATCAGTTTTTACTTGATTGCTGAACATCTGCTACAGGCGCATAGCTTGCTAGCATCACTCTAGCAGCTTTACATTCTTCTCACTCAGTTTCCTGTCAATTGGCAGTGTTTATAATGACAAATATAATGGTTATTTGTGCACATTCAAGCTACACTCTGTGCATTTTGAGCTGAAGGCTATGAATAAGCAGATCCCATGACCTTCTGAAGAAGCAGGCCCAGTTGCAACTGCAGAGAACCATGGTGGAAACATCCCAGGCTGATGCTCACAAGTCTGAGGTAAGTTTGCAGCATGATGCAAATATTTCCACCACCTATCCTCCTCCTTTTGTTTCCCAGCTAAGGACCCATGCACCGAGAATGTGAGCTCCCAGGTAGGGCTGGGCGATTTGGCAAAAAAATAAAATCTCGATTTTTTTGTGAGAAAGTCTTTTCAGTCTGTGGGCAACTGAATGATTTTTGTCCAGTTATGAAATCATGTTTCTTATACTGATCTTTATCTTGCTTTTCATTCAGTTTTTCACTTTCCTCTTTCAGCACCATCATGTCTAGGATGAAAAGAGACAAATACAAGTTAACCCCTGTTTAAAAACAACAGAAAGCAACAATGGCCAAAATCTGCCATTAATGTCTAAAACAGGGGTGTCAAACTCAGCATGTGGAGGGTCACGGTCCTGCGTAGTTTATACCTTTAGTTTTCAAGTAATGAAGATCTTGATTCAGGTGTGTTCAGTAAGAGCTAAACTCTGCAGGGCTGTGGCCCTCCAGGAGTTTGACATCCCTGCTCTAAAAAATTTAAAGCATATAGCTTCAACAATGTCCAGTTTTGCAGAGAAACTGTATTTGTGAACCAATATCAGTCAGGATTTAAACCCAATTTTAACATGGAAACTGTGCTCATTAAAGTAATATATCTCTCCTAAAAAGTAAAAAGTAATATATCTCTAGAGCTATTATTTCTTCAACAACATAGACCACAACATCCTCTTGGATAGCTTGAGAATTGTGTAGGCACTTGTGGACAAGAATTAGTATGGTTTATATCCCATCTATCCAACTGCTACCACTTTGTGTAAATGAAGAAACATCTCATCAAAAACAAGTATGGAGTGCCACAGGGCTCAGTATTAGGTCCTCTGCTTTTCTTTTTTGTCATCTGAGAGACATTATCATTAGATTTCACTATTATGCCAGTGACAGAGTTTTATTATTTCCTCACAACCTGAAGAAATGACACAACTCTCCAAGTTAACAGAGTGATATTAAACATATCAAATATGGGATGGCTAGTAATTTTCTTGTACTTAACTATTTCTATGGAAAATTCTAAATTCTCAATTCTGATTTTGTATAACACCCTACTTACATGTTAGAAATGCTGCAGGGTCAACAAATAAGTTATAGTTTGTTCAAAATGCAATGGCTAGAGAGCTTACAAGACACATTAGGTCTTCTGGCATCAATTTTGTCTGACTGCACAGAGTCTTATAGACCACAGAAATCGCAAAAAGCAAAACAGTATATCTATGAGGACAAGTGTATTTTGGTTGTAGTTGTAAATGAAGTTATTCAGTAGGGATATATATTACTGTAAAAGGGAGTTTCGTCCCTTCCTGTTTCTTATGGTCAGTGTTAGAGCTCAAAACGTTTTTGTATCATCAGTTTTTACTTGATTGCTGAACATCTGCTACAGGCGCATAGCTTGCTAGCATCACTCTAGCAGCTTTACATTCTTCTCACTCAGTTTCCTGTCAATTGGCAGTGTTTATAATGACAAATATAATGGTTATTTGTGCACATTCAAGCTACACTCTGTGCATTTTGAGCTGAAGGCTATGAATAAGCAGATCCCATGACCTTCTGAAGAAGCAGGCCCAGTTGCAACTGCAGAGAGCCATGGTGGAAACATCCCAGGCTGATGCTCACAAGTCTGAGGTAAGTTTGCAGTATGATGCAAATATTTCCACCACCTATCCTCCTCCTTTTGTTTCCCAGCTAAGGACCCATGCACCGAGAATGTGAGCTCCCAGGTAGGGCTGGGCGATTTGGCAAAAAAATAAAATCTCGATTTTTTTTAGAACGTTTGACTTGCTCACAAGTCTGAGGTAAGTTTGCAGCATGATGCAAATATTTCCACCACCTATCCTCCTCCTTTTGTTTCCCAGCTAAGGACCCATGCACCGAGAATGTGAGCTCCCAGGTAGGGCTGGGCGATTTGGCAAAAAAATAAAATCTCGATTTTTTTCAGAACGTTTGACTGATTCTCGAATTTTAATGATTTTTAACTAGTTAACTTGAAAATGTAACTACAACATGATTCAAGTAACTTTTTCTTTATTAACCCCAAAAAATTATATTCCAAGTTCACCACACATGAAGTTGTCAACAATATGTAAATGTTAAACAAATCACTTGTTAAATATCTTTGCAGAAAAGATGCATGAACTACAACTACAAACTTGTCTTATATTATGTGTTCAGAAACAATATGAGGAAAATGCTTTAAAAAATCTCAAAAGTCAAGGTAATTCAAATTCAAATTGACTGAAGGTATAACACAAATAGGCTTGGGTATCGATTGGGTTTTTTACGATACTGGTGCCATATCGATACTTTTAAAATGGTACTGGTGCCTAAACGGTGCCTGAACCGATACTTCAAAAAAAACAAAAAAACGATGGATAACATTACAAATATTTAAAATAAATATACATAGCATTCATATGCTCCTCGGATGCTCTCATTTCCCGAGTTTTGCTTCCCTTACTCTAAGACTAATAAATGTATTTCACGATCTGGGTCATTATTTTATACAAAACAATATTTGATACAAAACCACACATAATGTTTCTACTGTATCTCTGTCAATCACTCTGATATTTAGTTCATTGAGTGCTGTCTGTCACTGTCTTTAATCAGTTCTGTGAATGACCGTATGGTATGCCACATGTACTGTAATGTTTTATATTAAATATTCAAATGAAAATAGCAACATGATCGTTTTATAAAGTATGCGTTCATATGTGTTAAGGGCTAGATTTTCGCTGGAGGAAACCGCTGTGGTGTGATGAGTGATGAACGCAACGAAAACTTTACAGTAGATGGGAAACCGATTGCTCCCCCGTGACTAGGGCTGCACGATAAATATCGCACGATATTTAATGCGCATCTCATCAGTAAAGCCGGTTCTGTAATCAGCAGTAAATCTCTAAACGTGCGTGCTTTCACGTGGAGCAGCATTAACTACACAGAGCCATTGTTCACAGACAAGCTGCGCAAAACCACGATCATATTTTGCGCATGTTTTGCACAGCAAAACTCCATAACAGTGAGTTATGAACTTTCCATCCATAACTCACTGTGGAGTTTTTTTCTGAGCAGCTTTCTGAGGACCATTGACTATCACATGAGATAAGAAAATGACAGCTTTCAAGCAGTAGTGTAGTCCTAAAAAAGTGATTTACTATTACCCAGTTTTTCTCCTTCAGTTGTCCATGCACTCACTCATATTACCAACACCTCTCTTCACACTGGTACCTTTCCCACAGCATTTAAGCAGGCTCAGATAACCCCACTGCTTAAGAAACCCAGCACTTTTAGAAAACTACAGACTGGTATTCCCATCCCTTCTTTGGATATTCAATTGAGACTGCCCTGCTCTCGGTTGTTGAATCTCTAAGATTTTCTAGAGCAGTTTTCCAAATCATCAGTTCTCATCTTGATGGATCTGTCCACTGATTTTTTTTACACTATTTACTATGAGATCCTCCTGTCAACCTTCATGGCAAAGGGCATTTTGAGGAACCACATTTCAATGGTTCAAGTCTTACCTCCTCTCAGGTAGGTGCTTCTGGGTGTCTTGGAGGGGTGAGGTGTCTAAATCGCAACATCAAGCTACTGGGGTGCCTCAAGGCTCAGTGCTTGGACCTCTTATCTTCTCCATCTGCACATCATCACTAGGTTCTGTGATTCAAAAACATGGCTTTTCCTTTCACTGCTTTGCTAACGACATTCAACTCTCATTCCAGCTTGATGTGACCATAGCTTCTTGCTGGATGAAGGACCATAACTTTCAGCTTAACTCTACCTCTGCAACTAATATAGAATGCGGCAATGAGAGTGGTCTTTAATGAGCCTAAGAGAGTGTATATCATGCATGTCTGTTCATCACATTGCACTGGCTACCAATTGCCAGTCGCATCAAATTCAAGGCACTGATATTTGCCAACAAAACAACCACTGGCTCTGCACCCCATACCTAAACTCACTACTTCAGACTTATATGCCCTCCAGAGGCTTGTATTCTGCAGGTGAACGGCGCATTGTTAAAGATGTAGGAAAGTAGTTTTTCGTGTCATGGCTGCACACTTGGGTGTGCTTTTTCAGTTATTCCACTTATCCTTATATATTTGTTCTTTTTACCTGGCAATGCTATAGCATGAGAGTGTCTCCAAACACTAACTTTACTGTATACCATATTATTACTCTATACCAGGGGTAGCCAACGTCAGTCCTAGAGAGCCACAGTCCTGCAGAGTTTTGCTGCAACCTTGATAAAAACTCACCTGCCTGTAGTTTTCCAGTAACCCTTAGACCTTGATTAGCTGGTTCAGGTGTGTTCGATTAGGGTTGGAGGACTTTGGCTCTCCAGGACCGACGTTGGCCACCCCAGCTCTATACCATTTCCTTGCAGCGAGAAAACTGCCCTCAATACAGCATTTAAAACACTGAACACTAAGCAGTATTGAGTTCTCTCGCTGCAGTGGACACACACACTCAGTCCATGATGGGTGGGAAAAAGAATAGTAGAAGCGATAATGCACCAATTACAACAAAGAATCATGAGTTTCACAAAACAGCATGGGACACGGTAAAGGGGAAGGAAACATGACAGTAGATTACAAACTTGCAAATATGTATTGATTAAGGCCAGGAAAAATCATAAAAATAAATGTAACATTTAACATCATGGCATTTTTCTAGTAAAATTTACATTTATTTTGGTACAATAAACTACACTAAGTAATTTGTGTTCTTTTTCTTGCTCAAGATTTATGCAAAGTATTAAAATCCTCTTGTTACATAATATTATTATATATTATTTAAATCACATGCTCTCATTTATGCAATACTAGAACCATACAAAATTTTCTGCATATATTCAACATGGTTTACAGATTAGATAAAATCACTAAAAGTATTACATTAGACAATATAATAAGAATACATCTTATGCTTTTGTTTCTTTTAGGGACCAGACATGGTAGGGAGGCTAAGCACAAGAAAAGATGCTCAAGTATTTGACAGTTCTTTTCAGCAGAAAACCAAAGTCTCACAGAGAAGGTCACTAGCACTGAGGTGGACTTTATAGCTTTCATCGTTGAGCATAATCTTCCATTTCAGGTGTGTAAGCACACAGGCAAACTATTCAGGAAGATATTCGTTTCCTGACTCAGAAATGAAAAAAACACACACTCAGTCCATGATGGGTGGGAAAAAGAATAGTAGAAGCGATAATGCACCAATTACAACAAAGAATCATGAGTTTCACAAAACAGCATGGGACACGGTAAAGGGGAAGGAAACATGACAGTAGATTACAAACTTGCAAATATGTATTGATTAAGGCCAGGAAAAATCATAAAAATAAATGTAACATTTAACATCATGGCATTTTTCTAGTAAAATTTACATTTATTTTGGTACAATAAACTACACTAAGTAATTTGTGTTATTTTTCTTGCTCAAGATTTATGCAAAGTATTAAAATCCTCTTGTTACATAATATTATTATATATTATTTAAATGCTCTCATTTATGCAATACTAGAACCATACAAAATTTTCTGCATATATTCAACATGGTTTACAGATTAGATAAAATCACTAAAAGTATTACATTAGACAATATAATAAGAATACATCTTATGCTTTTGTTTCTTTTAGGGACCAGACATGGTAGGGAGGCTAAGCACAAGAAAAGATGCTCAAGTATTTGACAGTTCTTTTCAGCAGAAAACCAAAGTCTCACAGAGAAGGTCACTAGCACTGAGGTGGACTTTATAGCTTTCATCGTTGAGCATAATCTTCCATTTCAGGTGTGTAAGCACACAGGCAAACTATTCAGGAAGATATTCGTTTCCTGACTCAGAAATGAAAAGAAAAAAAAAAAAAAAAAAAAAAAAAAAAAAAAAACTACGCCTGCTCATCAACCAAGACAGCAGCTATTGTGAACATGGCACTGGAACCTGAATGTTCAGAGGATCTGTAGAAGATCATGAAGTTGATGAAAGCAATGATATCTTGTGTGAGAAGGAATACGCCAAGTACTATAATAAAACTCAGGATAAGGTAATGGCTGGATTAGTAGACATACCAGTTTGCAATGATGCCAAAGCTAAAAACATGTTCAACTGCATTTCATCGGTTGCTTCTTGTGATACCTCCTTGAATTGAGTTTTTGCAGGGTGGGATGTCTGGGACACTAAGTATCAAATAAGTATCAAATGAGTGAGTTCAGCTTTGAGAATGAAAACCAACCTGTTTGTTCCTCAGTATCTTCATGTTTGTCTCTGAATGCTTCTTCAATCTTCATGTCTTCACTCTCCTCTTTAATAAACGCCATCTTTATAATAGTGTGTCACGTGGATCTCAGTCGAGTTTATCTGTGTGTTTAAGATGAGAATAATTAACAGAAAGAAAAATAAACCCAATCTAAATCTCTGGGGTGTCTCAATCAGCTCCCTAGTTCAGTAGTCAGTCAGAGTGAGCATTAATGGACTTAAATGGTCTCATTAGCTCAAAACACTCAAACTAGCCACAAATTAATAAAGTAAAACAAATTACAGAGTTATATATTTAGGTCGCCTATGTATGATTTACAGTCTGTATTTATTGATGTGTAAATTACGTTTAGTAGATTCCACATTCATGAAAATATTTGTTGTCATTACTCATGTTTGTTGTTCTTGTTGCATTTACTCTGTTTTGAGCAGGAGTCTTTCAGCGAGCGGTGATTCGAATCACTGAATCATTTCAAGAAGCATTTGATTCAACTGACTCGTAGTTTCGAAAAGCTCCGTTTCTCCATCATCACTACTCGCCAGTGAACAAATTAATGTTTATGATAAACTGATTCACTGTATAGGGAGCGAAATGAGACGTACCTTTTCTTATTCTCATGAGTGGATGCGCTTTACAAACACAAAATATCCTTTATTAATGTTAGATAAAGCATTACAATGCAACATTCAATAACAACTACTTAATTTGACATTTGCTGTAAAAACAACCAAATAGACGGAACGGTTAATATCTATTTAAACCCTTTAAATGCTTAAAAGCACAAACCTTTCTTCATCAGAATCACATCAGATGCAGGAGCGTGGCGCAGCCCTATGATGTCACACCACAAAACCAAAATAAAAGTCCCATTTACACACTTCTTTCTAAAATCACAAACGTGCACAGAAAATTACACACGAATAATGTAAATAATAAAATTACAATCTTAGTGGTAATGTTGTTATGGCAGGTCTGATGCATGTAGTCAAAATTAACCATGGTTTTATTATAGTAAAATTGTAGTAACAATGTTTTTTTTTTTGTGTTTACACACACTTCTGAGTAAATTGAATTTTGACTTGTTCTTTTCATTGTAAAAAATCAAGAATAAAAAAGCTGACAGAGTGTTTCAAATGTGTGCATTTACATTATTAATAAAAGAATTGGAGGAAAAGATGTGTCGTTATGAATCAAGAATCATTTTATAGTGTTGGGGAAAGTTACTCTTTAAAAGTAAAGCATGACAATATTGCATTACTCCTTAAAAAATAACTAATTGTGTTACTTTGTTACTTTTTATGGAAAGTAATGCATTACATTACTTTTGTGTTACTTTTTGTCACCTGGGCTGGGCTTGCTTATTTTTTAATAACAAAAACCCAAAACTTTAAAAGTATATTATTTTAGCAACTGTAAAGGCCCTTTCACAAGGAAGAGCCTCAGACATTGCATCTCACTCCCAATTTCTCTCAACGTGGGGACAGGAAAGGTGTCAGTGAATAAATGTGCAAACTTTGCTTATTTGAAAAAGTAATTCAAATATGTCATTGCAATTTTAAAAGTAATTTGCTATTTTAATAGTTACTTGAAAAAGTAATCTGATTACGTAACTCACGTTACATGTAATGCATTACCCCAACACCGCGCGTCACAATAAGTAATCTGATTACGTAACTCGCGTTACATGTAATGCGTTACCCCAACACCGCGCGTCACAATAAGTAATCTGATTACGTAACTCGCGTTACATGTAATGCGTTACCCCAACACCGCGCGTCACAATAAGTAATCTGATTACGTAACTCGCGTTACATGTAATGCGTTACCCCAACACCGCGCGTCACAATAAGTAATCTGATTACGTAACTCGCGTTACATGTAATGCGTTACCCCAACACTGCGCGTCACAATAAGTAATCTGATTACGTAACTCGCGTTACATGTAATGCGTTACCCCAACACTGCGCGTCACAATAAGTAATCTGATTACGTAACTCGCGTTACATGTAATGCGTTACCCCAACACCGCGCGTCACAATAAGTAATCTGATTACGTAACTCGCGTTACATGTAATGCGTTACCCCAACACTGCGCGTCACAATAAGTAATCTGATTACGCAACTCGCGTTACATGTAATGCGTTACCCCAACACTGCGCGTCACAATAAGTAATCTGATTACGCAACTCGCGTTACATGTAATGCGTTACCCCAACACTGCGCGTCACAATAAGTAATCTGATTACGCAACTCGCGTTACATGTAATGCGTTACCCCAACACTGCGCGTCACAATAAGTAATCTGATTACGCAACTCGCGTTACATGTAATGCGTTACCCCAACACTGCGTTATAGTAAAATTGTAGTAACAATGTTTTTTTTTTTTGTGTTTACACACACTTCTGAGTAAATTGAATTTTGACTTGTTCTTTTCATTGTAAAAAATCAAGAATAAAAAAGCTGACAGAGTGTTTCAAATGTGTGCATTTACATTATTAATAAAAGAATTGGAGGAAAAGATGTGTCGTTATGAATCAAGAATCATTTTATAGTGTTGGGGAAAGTTACTCTTTAAAAGTAAAGCATGACAATATTGCATTACTCCTTAAAAAATAACTAATTGTGTTACTTTGTTACTTTTTATGGAAAGTAATGCATTACATTACTTTTGTGTTACTTTTTGTCACCTGGGCTGGGCTTGCTTATTTTTTAATAACAAAAACCCAAAACTTTAAAAGTATATTATTTTAGCAACTGTAAAGGCCCTTTCACAAGGAAGAGCCTCAGACATTGCATCTCACTCCCAATTTCTCTCAACGTGGGGACAGGAAAGGTGTCAGTGAATAAATGTGCAAACTTTGCTTATTTGAAAAAGTAATTCAAATATGTCATTGCAATTTTAAAAGTAATTTGCTATTTTAATAGTTACTTGAAAAAGTAATCTGATTACGTAACTCACGTTACATGTAATGCATTACCCCAACACCGCGCGTCACAATAAGTAATCTGATTACGTAACTCGCGTTACATGTAATGTGTTACCCCAACACTGCGCGTCACAATATGGCCTGTTTGATTTACGTTAGTAGTGTGTTGTCACCTTGCTCACAAATCTAATATACATTCACAGACTTAACCAACTGTGTTTATGTGTACTTTGTATGTTTTTGACAGTTGACTTGAAAGAGCCAGCTTTCTGTGCACACGTTTAACGTGTGTGCGCTCAGAAAAACATATTTCAGAAGTTTGACAAGGCTTTTTAAACAAATTCTGGGCACACCTGAGACTTATAATACAGCTTATAAAAATTAAGGAGCATAATGGGTCCCCTTTAAAGCTCCAGATGTACTGTAAAAGAAGTAAGAAAAATTAAAATGTGTTTTTTATTTTGAGGAAAACTGCAGAGCTTTCTGTGAAGTTCAGCAGGTGTATATTGTGTCTGTGTTCACTAAATGAGCAATTAATCACTATATAGACAGCAACTCACACCAAGTATATTTTGGACACTTACTGTTAATTTAACTAAAATAATTTTTAATTAGTCTGAAACTATTATCAATACTTCTTTAACTGCTTCTCTATAATCTGATATATAATAGCTACATCCCAGCTAACAAAAAAAGGACGTCCCCTAAATGGCCTCTGCAAACGTCCCCCGGACGTCAGCGTGTAGGGTCCCCTTGACGTCGAGCGGACGTTCGCGAAGACGCCCTCCGGACGTGCAGCGGCCATTCGGGACGTTTAGGGGACTTTCGCTTTAAGTTCTCTGAATGTCATTTTATTTTACTTTTAGGCTAATCAAAGACAACAGACACGTTGTATGGAGCAAAATACGTTTATTTTAATTGAACAATTGTAAAGTTGCGGTGCTCTTTCCGTGTGCGTGTGTGTGTGTGTGTCAGCTGTGGGGTTAGTCCGATGGCAATTCCTCCCATTGTCTTCTAACCTAAAACAACAAAATGAACACATTCAGTACTGTTATGATTTTATATGTCTAGGACTATCGTTTATGCATTGAAAAAAGATAAAGACTGTTGACAGTTTGGATTTAGACCAAGCGGTCCGAAATTTAGCACACAGCCTTTTTGCCGCATATAGGCGTATCAGTGTGTATTTTTACCATATGGAAATTCAATATTTAAGTTCAATATCTGTCAATATTATATACGTTTAATCATTTCAGCTTTACATGCTAACGTTAGCTTCGAAAGTGTTCACATAGGCTAACGTCAGCAGCCGTACGGGACAACTTCAGCAAACGTTTAAAAAGGTAAACTTTTCATAAAATGTAAGCATTACGAGATACACAGTGGTTACGGTAGCTAATGTCTACAAATATAAAAGTCGAAGACGAAAACTCAAGGCCGTGTCTGAGGAATCACAGAGGACCGTTAACGGTCACTACGCAGTGGAGCGTTGCCATGGATACATGCGCCTGCCCTGAAGTGATGTCATTCGATCATGTGCTCATTTGATCGACACTTGCTTATAGCCACACTGGGACATAGGCTACATTACTTTTTTTTTTAACTAAAATAATAATTTTCCTAAATAACTTTTCTTGTCGGCTTACCAACAGTTTAATATGTAAATGGAAATAATTAATTTATTTGTCTTACCTGTGTTATTTTCCACTTTCTTTTCTTCATGTTTTCCTTGGCTGCATTAATCACTCTATAACATTCTTGTAGAGCTCCTGGGATGCAACCTTATTTACTTCATGCATGGGGAGTGCATAAACCTAATTGTAGCCTTTATGTTCAATTATATTATTGAAGGGTATCATGATTTTGATGTTTAAATGCTGAAAACAGAGTTGCAAGGTGTCAGGTCCAGTGTTGGGAAGGTGGTTACTTTGGAAATGTAATTTACAGATTACAAGTTACCCTATTTAAAATGTAATATGTAATGTAACTGTTTCAGTTACTTTATTAAAGTAATGTAACTGATTTCACTTGATTACTTTTTGATTACTTTTCTAAATTTCTATTGTTTTCCAATTTTTATTATTTTGAAACATTTAAAGTAGGCAAGGTTAACGTTACAGTGGTACTCAACACTGA